GCAGGATGTCCTTCTGTTCCCATACGCTGGGGTACGGCCTCGAGTTGATAACGATAACGCCGATCTTGGCCGCTGCGAGCTCTTTCGCGAGCCTGTGCGCTTCTGTAGCGCCCGCGATGGTGATCTGCAGACGCGCGCCGACGGCCTCTTCCACTTCGGACTTGAGACCGATGATCGTGGCGATGATGTCGGCGGAGTGAGTGTGCACGACGACGGGGATGACACCCTTCGCTGCGTCCTTGAACACGCGTACGAGTTCGAGGTCGGGGTCCTCCGGTACGAGACCGAGCAGTAGCTTGCGCAGTGCCGCAACCTGTGTGCTGACACTTGGAGCGCCGACGTGCGAGATGTCGACGTGGATGGCGGTGACAGACTGCACGAGTGCGCCGGGTGCGAGCTTGTGCGGTGCACCGAGCGAGAAGGAAACACCGAGACCCTTGAGGAAGCCTGCGCTGATAGGCGCGACAACTGCGCGAGTAACACCAGAACGGTAGGCGATCCTGCGTAGTGCTCGCTTCAGTACCCGTACACTCTGAAGGTGAAACGAAAGCGTAACTCACAGCTCATCGCGACCGCCGAACTGGAGACCATCAACGGCGCGAACAAGAGCGTCGTTCCCGCCCGCAGCAGCCGGAACGTTGCCCCGCAGCGGGTCGTACACGTACCCGTCGCGCGTCGACGCCTCGCCCTGAATCTCAGAGAGCCCGAGATTGCTGCCGAAGGCTGTCAGGCCCGGTGCGATGGAGCCGCCCTTGAGGTCGACGATCTGAACGTCGTCTGTGGCGGCGACGAAGGTCTCGCACTGTGCTGCTGCGCCCCAGCATGCGAGGCGACCGTCGACGACTACGGCTGTACCAGCCTTCTCATCCGAAGAAGCAGTGAAGCCCGAGCGCACGCCTTCTGCGCCTGGAAGCATCACGCTGCGCACGTTGTTGAACAGGACAATGTCGGACTTCGTCGCGTTTGGCGTAAGCGGGGGAAGACCTTCGTACTTGAGCGCATCGGCGGCCTCCTTGTCGAAGTTCGGTACCTCCGGCGCGTTCTGGAAGATCGCGGGCTTGTGCACGACGAATGGATCATCGAGCTGGGCGATACCGTCGATGAAGACCTGCGCGGGCGCGGCACCGAGCGAAAGAGGGTGGCTATCCCAGACGACGAGGTCTGCGTCCCAGCCTTCGCGCACGTAGCCGACGCGGTGGTCGAGGCCGAGGACCTTCGCCGGCGTGGTGGTCACAGATGCGAGCGCGAGGTTGGGAGGAAGACCGTAGTAGTGGGCCTGCTGTGCTTCGAAGAGTAGGTGGCGCGAGTTGAGGACTGGATGGTCGCTCTTCAAGACGACAGGGATGCCTGCGTCTGCGAGGATGCGGGGAGCGAACTCGGAGCCGCGGTATGATTCGCGCTTGTAGCGTGCGTTCACGGCGAAGATCGCAGCGGCCGGCGGTCCACCTGAAAGAGAGGCAGTCAGACGTATGAACCAGCATACAAGCGGTGAGACCTACCATGGGCGCGCTTAAGTACGTCGGGGACAAGGTAAGCCTCATGAGCATGATGCACGGCGGCGATGGCTAAACGGCAGTCAGCTCATACGTATAGACAGGCAATGCAATTGCGCACGGAATTGAAACTCGTTGGTGAGCTGTATAGCAGTAAAAGTCAGTGCATTATAAGATGGGGGATGCAGATTGAGCACGTACACGAACGAGATCATCCAGGTCGACCGCCTCGTAGCAGTGAGCCTGCACCTTCACACGGCCACGTACGACATCTACTAGAGCCTCCCACTGAAGGTCTTCCGGGAACTCTCCAAGACCTGCCCACTCGCCAGCAACGGCTTTAGCGCAGAAGTCATCTTGCTTTTGTTTGATCAAGGAGGCCTTGTTGTACCTGCACTTCGTTGAGCTGGTCGTGCAGAGTATGCCTGAGTGAACGCTTACGCCTCACGGAACGCCCAGAATGTATCCATACGGGTATTGCCTGTTTACCGAATGAATGATGCGAAGAGCAAATCTGCCGTGCAACCATACCGTAGACACGACCTGCATCTGTAGTCAGCGCTCTGAATGATCGGACATTGGAAGCAGGTCGACTTACTAGGGTTCTCTCCACACGCATGCCTTGATGTGACATATATGAGTACAGAGTTGTGAAGCGAATCAAGATGCCACTTACTTCATCTGCCTCCAGGGTGTGAAACCTTCACCGCTACGCGTACGGTTGATATCATACGGGGGCTCTACAAGCATAGCCGTCGTGCTGCGCTCCGCCGTCTTGCGAAGCTTGATGGTGAATGCCTGGCCACCGATACCTGTATCGTATCGTTGAGAACGTCGAAGAGCCTACAAAGGACGAGATGGTAACTTGCCGTTGGCACTGCCAGGTAGTACAACTATTACAGGAGTTAGCAGTTGTTGTCGTCCTTAGAACCGCATTACTGTACCTGCAGTCGTTACGCCGCCTGAGATGGAAAGCTCGTACGCCTCATCGTGCGTGTTCAGAGCGTCGACGCTACGCAACCAAGGTTGAATGGTCCCCTTCCGAGAGTTGCCATCCGAGGCTCCGGAGAGAGCAGGAGCAGAGTAGACGCCGAGGTGGGAGTGGTTGTCAACGATGCTATCAATGATGTTCAGCGCTTTATTCGGTTATCGGACTTACCAACACACCCAGGAGTGATCCAAGCGCCGTCCGCGTCGAGAATCTCGATCTTCCCTGCCGTCTTCAGCGCCTCGAACTCTTCGTCCTTCAAGCCGCCCAGATGCCCAACACCTTTGATGATGCCATCCTCCAGAAGTACGTCTCCCTCAACGACCTCCGTGCCATTGTTTAAGCCAGTCCAGATCTTCCCATTGCGCACAAGCACAGCAGGCGTCCCGGGAACGAACCTATCGTTCGCACTACGCTTGTGGAAGCTCGGCGCGGGACCGGGCGATAGCGAGAGAGCATGGCACTTCTCGAGGCTCTCCTGCGCATGGAGCGGTACTTGGACCAAGCTCTCCGACGACGAGCGAGTGTACTGTGAAGCAGAGTAGAGTACTTGTGCAAGCGTAAGGCATGCAAGCAGCCCGGCAAAGCGGCGCACAACGCCTTTACGGCACTTGCGCTTGCCCGTGTGCACGTCGGCACCGTGCGTATCCTGCGCGACGGGCAGGTATTCGGCGTGCTCTGGGGCGCCCATGGTGGTCAAGGGCAAACAGCAGAGTCTGTTGCCGTCGGAATTGCGCCATGCTATAAAGCAACTCGCCGCCAGGTACACGCTACATGATCGACGTGAGCGGGGAGCCTCGCGGCCCACGGTACTCACGTGGACGCGTGGGTGTAGATAACGATTTCCTGAGGCCATTTCTGCGCTTGCCTCCCGCCACCGCCATCGTCAGTACGCATGCTTCTGACGCCATAGCACTCAAAGCTGTCTGCTTATCTAGTGGGATACTGCTTCAATGAAGCCTGAGGCACGAGGCCGAAGACATTTAGTACCACTTCCCGTGCACCGATGAATCATACACGTCTATCTTTTGGCTAATCCTTCTTGCTTCACACCATACATTGCGGTGCCTCGCCTCTGCACCCGCTGGATATCGAGTGTACAGCCCCCCCATTCTCATAGTCTACTCCTTTGATAGTGCGAATTACGTATGCTAATAGAGAAACGCCAAGATAATACATACTAAGACCCGAGGAGAGATTACATCTGAAGGCTAGAGTACATATTGATTTACATGCCAATGTCCGCAAATGCCGTACCGATCCGATATTCAGGGAAACATCTCCTTTGCTGCCAACGATAGCGAACCCCCATTGCCTGCCGCTGGCATCGGTTTAGAGATGTCTGCCTTCAATAGACTCGGTACACCGCGTTCTACATCGGTTACCGCGAGAGAGGTAGTTTGCGTTTCCGTACTCCCCGTCGTGTGTCCCCCGTACTGCAGCCCACCAAATGACACCTTCATACGTGACTCACTCCGAGCATCGCGGTCGAACACAGAGTGTCTCAACGATACGATGACCACGATCGCGACGGGATAGATCGACTGAAGCGCGGTCAGCACGAGCCCATATGTCACCTGGCAGACGCCTACACGTACTGATATCGGGACCAGGTAGTAAGGAACCCATACTGAAGCTGTATCCCAGGCGGCTGATGGCGACAATGGTGTTATCGCGATTGTGGCCCAGATCTACGAGCCATCTGAGCGCGGAGGACACCGGTAAGGGCAACCAGTTACTCACCCAGAGCAGAGAGTACAGGACGCCTGTCTCTACCACCAGCAATAGTAGCTGCGAGTGCTGGCGCTTCGAGTCTCGGAATAATATCAAGTCTTTGAGATCATCCCAGGAAGACCTGCTTGGGGTCAGCTGTCTTCCTTTGAAGTAAGGAGTGACGATCATACCATATCTGGGAAGCAATGATTACAGAAGCGAAGATCTGAGTGGCCGCTGTGAACGCGAACGTAGCAGGCGCGGCCCATGCATTAAGTTGATAGGCTACTGCGAGCGTTGACGCCGGGAGGTAAGGGAAGTAGTAAAGCTGGGACATCATGTTGACTATGTAGAACACTGGAGTGGGGTCAGCCGTTTTATGATGCCGCTCTGAGTAAGAGATACAGACCATCTTCAACGACGATGATCGCTATAGAGGTGTATAGCAGCCACCGAGGACGGCTAGTCAAGATGTATGCCCTCCACAGAAGCATGATATCGCTCAGCGAGAACTGGAAGGAGGATTGATGTCGTCTTGGACTTGGAGCCGATACAGTCAGCCAACCGACTTACGATACATGTGTACAGCACCGTCTGCATATATTCCAGCGCGACTATAGTTGAATAGGATGGATCCCTCCCGTCGAAACCGGCAAGCATCTCGGGGATCACCATCGCGAGCTCATACCAGAGTACATGAATGTCGATCGCCCAGTTCACTACCGCGAGTACATACGAGCCGATGGCGACATAGAGCATCGAAGTCTTAGCTCTGGATGAGGATGAGCGGCTCGATTGCTGGTAGAGGAAGTAGGCAATGAGCGTAGTGAACAAAGCTGTAAGGCATTAAGAGTGAGCTCTCATGTACACAGGGATAACAACTAACGAGACCCTCGTACCCATCAGGAAAGTCTCGAAGACTACCGGAAAGACGTTGTCGCGGGTGACGGTCTGTACTTGCGAGACAGCTGCCTTGATCTGCACATCGCTAATGTTAGACGCCATTGGGTGGTGCGGGAGCGCGTTGAGGTCAATCGTGTGGTGAAAGGTCTTTATACTGCAGTCTCAGAAAGCGCTCTTTACCAAGTACGAAGAGAGCGGAACTTCGACCCCGGATGATGTTCTCTCACATCTAAAGAAAGAGGTCCGATGACCTATAGCGGCGAGCGCTTCGCAGTGAAGACATGCGATTGACTCGACAGCGGCTCTTCCTGGGTCGAGGATTACTGTTCCAGCAGCTCAAACACGCTGGATCGAGTGGAAGCTGTGTACGAACCATGCCGGCACTCACAGCCGGACTGGTCCGCTGCCGGCCCGCGTCGCAAACGCTCAGGTTGGGACATTCATTTACTACTGATGCTGATCAGTTACAAGCGCGGAGGTGCTGTTACCTCGAAGTCGTTGACGTGAAGCATGTTTCCGGGTGGCTCAAGTTCACACAAGGTTGCGAGGCCGATCGCGTTCGCACTTGCGCGCAGACTGGGGCGACAATAGTTGTTGTTGGACGTTACAAAGTAGTCCTAGGAGAAGATGGTGGGGGTGTGCTATCATTGACACAAGTCCGCCGCACCAACGAACGCAAGAACATCTTCCCGCCCCGGCCTCACAGGCCGTACAGGTCGGCGTACGGGTCCCACGTCGGATCGGTGTGTCGCTCGTACTCGATGCCGTCAGCGATGGAATTGGCAACTTCCTCACCATATAGGGAAGCGACGAAAGCGAATGTACCGTCGATCGCGGCCGCCACTCCCGATGTAGACCAGATGTTGCCGTCCTGTATCCAACGGGCGTGCGGTACCCAGTTAACATTTGGGCCCGACGAGGTGACCCATCGTACGGGCGCTGGTAGTCGATCATGAGCGGGTGATATGCCAATGAGTTGGGGTGCAAGGCGGACCTTATTCGTAGTGGCATTTCGTCCGTCCAATACGCCCGCTTGAGCTGCAAGGGCGGCTCCAGTGCACACCGATAGCAGATAGTCCAGGCTAGAATACACGTCCTTGATGAAGGCGATGGCATCACCCAGGTCCGGCGAGCGCGAGCCCACCCCGCCAGGGATAATCAGTACATCCAGATCCTTCGGAGAGTCGGCGAACGTGTGTGTAGGTAGAATTGTTTCGGAAAAATTGGATCCCAGTTGCATGGCGCGCGGCTTTGATGAGACGGGGTCGAGGGTCGAGGCGATGAGTGAGTGTGATGTTGTAGTTGAACGCCAACATGTTGAAGACGTCGAGCGGACCGAAGACATCGAGCGCCCTGCGATCATTCATGAGCTGGCGCGAACACGCGGGAAAGCGCTTAATCACTTACTGGAACGCGGGGAATATCACGATGCCATAGTGCACAGATACTGTACACCATCTTGAGCGCTTGAAAGAATGGGAGTACAGAGGCAATGCGTACGTGTCGAATTTGTAGTACTCCGCGCTGACGCGCCAACAAGTATGCCGCCTATGGCTGTGAGAATGCCTGCCTTGATGTGCATGACTGAACAGGATGGTTGCACAGTGTTCCATGTGTTCTCATGAGCAGCGTTCTTATATTCTTGGACAGAAGAGACGTGACACGATTGACGAGTATCAAGCGGCCACCGAAGGATCGTCTGTAGAAATGCGGCGGAACTGCCGAAAGAGCGTGCACCAGATGCCGGGCGAGTCTGCTGCTGTGTATCATCTGTGATATCGATGTTGAGGATGTTGACATGCCCGCTGCTTCCGACGAGAATGCGCGTAGTGATCTAGCCAATGGTTCAGGCTCGCTAATTCGAGTCCTAGAGCCAGCATCTGATGCCAAGGAGCCGTGGGCAGAGGGTTCGGAGAAATTGACATCGATGGATAGCCAAGACTCGCACGGGGTGTGGGCACCCCGGAAGGATGTCAGCGAGGTCGAGCGACGAACGATGGTTCGGCCTGAAGACAGTAAGCAAGAGTGAGAGAGCATTCCGGGGCGCCCCGACGCAAAGGTCGTCCGAGGGCATGGTGTTCTGGGATCTTGCTGGGCAACACGATTGGCGCAGTAGATTTGTGCATCGGCGAGGAGGGGATTAGGGGAGATGATGATTATAACCATGTTAGGAGGACCAGGTGTGCGCGGACGGTGAACCGGGTGATATATGTCGCTACTGTGGCATCTTGAAGCTTTGGGGCGACAGACGATACAGGCGTGGCTTGGTAGAAGGGAGAAGTCGCAAGAGGCAAGAGAACTCGGCATCGAGGGCCATACTACGGTCGCTGATGGTGTCTACCGATTGGCCAGACGATGGTCGTTCACAGGTTGACCGGCGCCCTCACGCGCATTGAGAGCGACTCATGTAGAAAGTGTTGGGCTGCCGTCAAGACTACAGAGGATGGTGGTGGTGGTCAAGCGCAAGATGAAAACGCCCACGATTTGTGTGGGCGGTTTGGCCGCGGACTTCGGGAGCACCAACCCGAGACAACATGAGGCATTTATCAATTTGCCTCATGACGCGATGTTGTCGCTTCGACAGTGGTTTACTGCTTTCGTAACTCTACGCACAGTGCTGGCTCGACCTCTGTATAAGACTTGTCCTCGACTAGGAGCCTCGACTAGGAAGACGGGCCGCTCGAGACGGTCTATGTTATCTCTTCCGTGCACGCGTCCTGCATACCGGGGCAGCATATTATCTCGGACTATGCGAAACAGATGGAGAGGCCAACCATCTCTTGGACATACAAGTCTGTCAATGCATAATCGAGGAGGTCCTTCTTACAGGATCGACAAGCCCCCTGTTGTGTGGGGACGATGTCGATTCAAGCACTCCTCCGGCCTCTCGAGTGCAAGCGCCCGTCGCTGTCACCACCATCGTAGGCGTGACGTCTTGAACTGCACCCCTGCCTTCCATATAACACACACGAAGTGCTGGGATATGTCCGAGTTTTGGCTTGTCTCTGCAGAGCTGCGCTGCAAATGCCGCACATATCGCAACAGAGCCAGTCGCAGAGGTAACCGGACCGGAAGCCGGTGCTGCTAATACTGTCATCTTCACGGTCCTCCGAAGTGTGCAGAGATCTAGCTCTCAACCCGTATTCCTCCGTACTTCGGAGTATAGACCCCCGAGCGTGTGAGCCATGTCGGCCCGCGGCGGAATCTGCGCCTTTCCCATCAGGTGAAGCGTTTCTGCGCGCGGACGGGCCACTGCTCGCTACAAGAGCTTCCCTTCTACCTCCCGGCAACCTTGGCGTTATCTGTACATATCAAAGCTTCGTAGCTTGACATCGCCCTCTTGTTCTTGGTGAGTTTTTCGTAATTCCCAATCCGTATTGTGCTTGACGAGGCGACGCAAACATCGTAGAGTCACAGCAGGACCTCTCTTGCATTCAGTCCCCTCGCGAGCAAGGTATATGCTTGCACAAATTCATCGCTATAGCTCATGCTCATACATAGAAAGTCAAAATTGAACTCATGTCGAATCAATCTCTGAACCTGGACAAGAAAGACGGCGCGTCTGAACAGGAGTCGGTTCACGACGCCCCGGTGAACACCCCGTCCATCGGTGGCAACAAGATTGAGGCACTTCGTTCTGTCGCAAAGTCATCTCCATCTGTTAGGCGCATACTTTGGGTGATTGGCATAGGCGTCGGGATCACAAGCTTCGCGTATGCCATCCAAGTGAGCACCAGGTGCGTGGTATCAACACCAAGGGCTCTGAGAGCATCGTGACTCATCACCACGCTGTAGCTCCAACTTCTCCGTCTGGGCTACCTCTAGTTTCGAAAGCCACTCGTCCGGTCTCTCGGCGCTTTCTGTAGCCACAACGCTCATTTCTTCCATCTGCAAGCCCTTCCTCGCCAAGTTCTCCGATGTCTTCGGACGGCCGAGCACATACTTCGTCGGAACGCTGCTCTATCTCGTTGGATTTGTATGTCCATGCCAGTCTTAGGGGTCCCAACTTACACTCAACACATGTATTCATCGCACAGATCGTTATCTCCCAGTCTCCGACTCTCGCGGCATACATCATCGGCAACGTGCTTGGTTCATTGGGTGGCTCAACTGTGGATTTCATGAATAACGTGATCATTGCCGACCTCACAGATCTCCAATGGCGCGGATTCTATATCGCGTGTCTTGGGATACCCTACTTGATTACTCCCTGGTTCAGCGCCAGTATCGTCGAGAGCCTGGGAACAACTGACGACTGGCGCTGGGGGTACCTAATGTTTGCTATCATCCGTCAGTTCCTTGCTTTTCCCCTTACGGAGAGTACTCACTCATCTCATATGTAGTTCCCGTCAGTACTCTGCCAGTCATAGGCGCACTCGTATGGCTTCATCTTCGCGCCAAGAAGCTCAGCATCCGAGTCGTTCCTACAGCCGAGCGAGTAGCGGGTGTTGAGGATGGCGTCGAGCAGGCCGTCGAGGCGCCAAGGATCTCGCTCGCTCTACGCGTGAGGTCGAGTATTCACGAACTCGATGCACTTGGTCTTCTCCTACTCGGCTTTGGCTGGACCTTACTTTTACTTCCTTTCTCCCTGGAGAGCGGTGCCAAGGGCAGATGGTCGAACCCTTCGATGATTGTCATGAGTATGTCCCAGAGCGTACCCTACCTGCTGTGGGCACCTTGCTCATACTTCACGTAGTCGTCGTCGGTGCCATCTGCCTCATCGCATTCATACTCTTCGAGGCGGTTGCATCTCCG